TGACAGGCCCCGGGACCAGGCCCCCGGGTACCGGTGAGAGCCTGACAAGAACACAGCAGGCCAAGCAGCATCTGGATGAAAGGAGCAGTGAATGTTTCGGGCATTCGCTTTCTTCAGGACTGGACGTGGGGGTAAAACCCAAAACACTGACTGCTCCTTTATTCCAGCCTCCTGTTTGTCTACCTGGATTCCAGCATCTGCGGTTTTGTTTGTCTCTGACGAGCTCCGGGTCCAAGCGGGCGTGCGGCCATTCGGTTCTCCTTTCCTTGGCGTGAGGGAAGGGGGCGTGTCCTGAGGTAGTGGGGGCGGGCGGTACACGCACGGTCAGCTGACTCCTCCCGGCCAATGGGTGGGCGCTAATGGCGGAGCTGCCCGGCTCGCGCTCGCTCGCTGCAGCCTCGGGCCCGGCCTCGCGCTCTCGCCGTTCCCTCGCTCAGAGCGCTCCCCGGCCCGGCCTGGCCTGGCTCCCAGTGCCGCATACCGCCTACTGAAGTGCAGGTGAGTCGTCCGGGGGAGGGGGGTGTGGGGGAAGCGGCGATCACTCTAACTCCCCCCCCCCCCCCCCGTGTCTCTCTCTCTCTCTCTCTCTCACACACACACACACACAAATCATAGGCCTCGGCCTCTTACTGGCTGTAGCCCCGCACTCGGCCTTTAGGCCTCGGGCTCCTCATGGGCGGGAAGCTGGGTCAGAAATTGCAGTTCCCGGTGTTGTCTTGGTCTTGTCGGTACTGCTGAAGAAGTAGAGGGCCCCCACACCCGGGATCCCGCTCTGCGCCAATAACAGCGAGCGAGGAGCCGGCTTAGATGCATCTGGAGCCTGAGGTTGTTGAGGCGGGGGGTTGGTGTGGGCGGCCCTTCAGTCCGCCTTTACCAAGCAGGCCCTGTTGCCTTCCCTCTGTCCTCCCGTGCTAGTGCTGATGCCTCATGTCACATGTCCCCAATTGGCCTTGTGTGCAAACTGATCCCTGTAAATGCCTTGTCTCTGATCTGCAGTGCGTTGCAGTCTGAGATGTGCATCCCAGTTAAATCCGTTCACCCCCTAGTTAAAAGGTTGGTTCTCCATTGAATCAAATCGCCAGATTTCAGTTTCCATTAACCCTGCGCGGATCGGGTAGTTTGGGGAAATTTACGAGGATCCCAAGGACTCCTCGGTTGGATTGAGGACTCTCTATAGGAAAGTGAGCAAGTAAAGCAACAGGTTACAGGATCCTTCCTGTCGAAAGTCATTTACCCTGAAGATTGAAATTCAGCAGAACCATCTATAAATTTTATGCATGCTACAGATTGCTTAATTTTGAAGCGCAGGCATGTACTTGCGCAAAAAAAGTGAACATTATTTTGGACTTATTTGTAGATTCAGGATTATATCGCAACAGGAGTTGGTCATTCAGCCTGTCAAGCCTGCCCTGCCATTCAGTGTAATCATGGCTGGTCGAACACATGAATGCCTTTTTCCCACCCCATCTCCATAATCCTGTACGTTACAGGTAATCAAATCTATCAGTCTGTTAAACATATTCAAAACTGGGCCTGTACTGACTTCTGGGTAGAGAATTCCAAAAGTTCACAACTCTGTGTTAAAAAAATTCTCATCTTGGATCTAAGTGGCATTCCTTTATTACCTGCCTCTCCTAATTTGCACACTGGGTAAATGTACTGCTTGGTGTGCTATTGCACTGTATAAACCAAGATGATCCAGGTTACATTTCCAGTCTGCGTTGAATACCTCTTCTCATTTAGGTCAAGTTTGAGACATTTCAGTTAGCCTTTAAAACACCTTAGCACATGGGAAACATCAGCCAGTATTCTCAGCATTGGCTAATTTGATAACTGTCCACTGCCTAATGCTAGTGCTTGAGTAGAGAGAGAACCTGGCTGAACTATAATGCTACACATTCAGAAAACCTGTCAGTACCAACTGTCAAGGCATTGAAAAGAGGTAATTAGGCAAGATGGTAGGGATAAACTGGAGCCCATAGAATGATTAACACCCTCCATCCTCGAGAGAGAGTAGGCAATCGAGGGATTTGGGGAAACAATAATGTAATTGTCCTCTGCCAAACAACCTGCACCCAAATCAACATTATGACGTAGAGCTTACTCATGTGGATCTGTTAACTCTAGCAGTTGGCTCTGCAATCATGACTTATTGTTCGTTCTGACTGCAAAACTATCACTAGTCCCAAAGCTGAGTTGATCTCATGCTGTTATACTTTTGTAAAGTTGTCCCCCTGCCCTGAATGAATGCCATAACTCTGCTTGTCCAGCAGTATTTAAATTTGTCTTCTGTAGAGCTCCTCTGCAATTATTGAGATACTTCAGGAGCTGTGTGTCCTGATTTAAGACAGTATCTACTACCTAGAGAATAGTGTTTTTGAGTTACAGTGGAAGCAATGGACTTGTAGGACAATAGACGCAGAGGAACTGATGTATTATCATCCTGATGGACCCCAGCTGATTGCATGTCTTGATTCTTGAAAACTTTTTGCCAATTTTTAGCAAAGCCCCACTGTTCTTGATTAAGAGATAACACAGTGTGGAGCCTGTGAAGGGTCCCAAACCGAAATGTCAACTTTCCTGCCCCTCTAATACTGCCTGGCCTGCTGTGCTGCTCCAGCTCCACACTGTGTTATCTCTGACTCCAGCTTTGGCAGTTCTTACTATCTCTGAGACAGTTCTTGATTAAAATGTATTTGTGTTTCTAAATGATCTCAAGTTAGTACAGTACTGGAGTATTGTGGACTATTGCAGGTGCTGAATCTAGTTGAAATGTTTGAATTTTCTATCCAAATTTGTGTAAATGCTGGTACTCAGTATATTTCTAATACATTGTTGTATGTATCAGTCCTACGTGTGATGTCAGAAGTACTGTAATTTGGATATGCATTAGGGAAGATAACTCTTTTTAAAAATTTTCCTTTGAAATTGATAGCTGCCACTAAAGAATCAAAACAAAAGATGAGGACAAGGTACAGGAATGGAGCTCAGTTGAAATTTGTATTGTTACAGTTTTATTCTTAGAAATTCCACAGATTCAGTTTAGTTTGAGAATTGTACCTTTGGACTGGACGGTTACAAGTGTCCCTCAGTTATTTTAGAAAAGAGAGAAAGATAAGCTAGGTAACTACGTATAAGGTGGTTGGGTGTGTAAGGTAGATGTGAAAATTTTGTTTTCCCTTATTCAAGTGATTTGGACCAGAAGGCATAATCACAGAGTAAGGGGTTGCCTAGATAGGACAGAAGTAGGAAGAACTTCTCCAAGGTTAATGAATATGTGGAATTCTTTTGCAATAGAGACTGGGTCATAAAGTATAATTACAGCTGAAATCGACTGATTTTTGTTTTAAACAGTAAGGGGAAGCCTATTAAAGGGGTTGTGGGGTCAGGCAGCAAAATGGGTTAAGGATTGAGATCAGCCATGAATGACCTCATTGAGTCTACTCTGCCATTCAGTGAGCTGAATGGCTTATTTCTGTGCCAATGTTTTGTGATCTTATAGTCAACAAACCTGTCGGTTTAACATCAATCAAAGGGAGGTTCTTCGATGTTGTTTTTCTTAAGACACAAACAAATTGGACAAGTGTGAGCTGATCAAAGAAAACATAGATTTGTGAAAGGAAGAACCGAGTCTGCGGAAACTTGTTGAATTTTTTCAGACAGACGCTTGAATGGGAAATGTCTATGAATGTTTTTGTATAAACTTCCTGAAGGCATTCAGCTGAGTTCCAATATAAGACATTGAGGCAGGAGTGTTATGTACAGTTTTGGACTTCATGCTTAAGAGAAAATCACGTGTTGAACTGAAGGTTCATGAGATTGGTTTCTGAAATGTGAGGGTTGAATTGTAAATGTATATTTAAGTTCAGCAGTATGTTAGGAGTCATGGATTTTGTAAATTGTTGTAGACATTTATGAAAGAATATAGTTTTAATGAGCGGACAGATTTGTTGCAAGTGGAGCTCGACGTAAGAGACCATGTGGTCATCCACTTGTGAGTCCAGAAAGTTAAAACAATAATTTCTTAATGGTGAGAAACTAGAAGTGTGAAGGAACAATGGGATTTTGGTACCTGGGTGTTCAAATCATTAAAGGCTGGAGGACAGGTTTGAAAGATAAACCAGAATGGCTATTAAAATCATAAGATGCAGGAGCAGAGGTAGGATATTCAGCTGATCGAGTCTGCTCTGCCAATGAGATCCTGGCTGATCTGATAATCTTAAACTCCAGTTTCTACCTTTTGTTCCTGGATTGTTGGCCTTTATCATAATTGGCCAGGAATACAAAGGATTTGAAGTTATGCTTCTGTCGACCTCACTTATTGAGTTACTGTGTTCAGCTGTGGGCACCAAGTTTCAAGAAAGTTCTTTGAGCTTGGAGAAGGAATAGTGTAGTTTCACTCAAATGACACTAGAAACACATTTGCAAAATGAAAGCCGGTAGCATAGGCTTGCTTTGAAAAAGTTGACAAATAATCTACTTGAGGAAACTTGCCCATGTCTTAACTTGCAAAAAGTCCTTGTGTCCATCACCCCAATACTCACTCATCTACACTGGCTCCCCTTTAAGTAATGCTTGATAAGAAAATTCTTGTCCTTGTTTTCAGTTTCCACCGTGACTCTGCTTTCCCAATCTTTGTAATCCCCTCTAACCTTATGTAGAATCATAGAATCCCTACAGCTTGGAAACAGGCTATTCTGCCTATTGAGTCCACGCCAACCCTCTGAAGAGCATCTCACTTAGATCCAACCTCAACTATCCCCGAAACCTTGCATTTCCCACGGCTAATCCACCTAGCCTGCTGAACCCTGGACATTATGGGCAATTTAGCATAGCCAATCCACCTAACCTGCACATTTTTGGACTTTGGGAGGAAACCCATGCAGACACCAGGAAGATGTGCAAACTCCACACAGATAGTTGTCTGAAGGTGGAATCAAGATGTGTTTAAGATGACTAAAGGATAAAGGTTAGAGAGTGAAAACCAGAGCATGACAGCATTAACCTAAAATTAGAACTGTTAAGGCATAATGACCTATGAGAGGGATGCCCTGAGGTGAGACTGAAGAGGATCAGAGACACTGACATTTAGAGGAACAAGAGATAATCTCAGAGAAGAATGTAAGATTTTGAGAGACTTGGCGGGGTAGATGCTGATGGGTTGTATCCACAGGCAGGAGAGTTTAGAACTAAGAGCATGGTCTCTGGTTAGGAGGTCAATTGCCTTTACACAGATGATAAATTTTTTCAACCAGGATTGTGAATCTTTGGATTGTCAGTCATTGAGTACATTCAAAGCTAAAATAGATATTTGCATTCATAAAGAAATCTAGCAGTTGAGGAGTTGCTGTCAGAAATCGTCCAAGATCTTATTGATGGAGTTTAGCGAGCGTTGGACCGAAGAAGCTGAATGCACAACTGAATGTGGGGTTGTAAATGTGGTCAAAGTGTTAGAGAAATGCAGAGATCCCAAAACTTAATTGGGTTGGCGGAGGTTA